ATCAGTCATTCACTATTATAAGTAACGAGATGTAGGCTAACCACTACCCTTACCCTAACCTTAGCCACGTCTCTTTTAAAGTAACACTGCATAGCTAGCTAAATGTTAACTTAGCATTTTCTGTAGGTCTTCAACTTTTGGACCGAGGAGCGAGGGGATCTAATTTTGGACTGATGGCCACAGCAGTGTCCACACAGCCAATGTGATGCCACACTATCAGACGCCTCTTGGCAGGGGTCCTGCACAGTCGGTTTTTGCCTGTTCGTGCAGATCAGACAGTCTGTGCGTTCAAATACCCATAATACCAAACTATACAGTATGCCAGAAAAAGATTTAGCATGTCCCAAGGCATAGACTGTGTCTCAAATCACATACTTGCATTACTACACTTCTATGTAGTATACTATGCGCACTATGTACTTATTGGCGTAGTGCGCAAATTTCGACAGGGTAGTGTTGTCTCAAACCAAACACGGCCGTTGTGCACTTACCGGAAATGACGACCGCAAATTATAATTGCAAATATGTCGGAATCTACAACCTATAACTATAACTTTAAAGTTAAACTATACACATCACAAAGTAACAAAAGCAGAGCTCTCTCGGTTGATCTCTGGTAAGGGGCTTTTTTTGTATCTCCAAAGTAACAGATATAAAAGCAAGAGGGTCAAAGTTCAGGGTGTAATGTTACGAGACAGTAGTGTATCTTGGTTGTGTGCAGACTGCATGCAGCAGTACGTACTCCTTAGGGGCAGCTGCAGTCTAACAAAAGGCTTCCTCCAGTTTGTTTTAAACTTAATAAAACAAACTTAATGTGCTAAAAAGTTAGCGTTCCAGAGAAATCCAATATTCCTCTTAATCCCTCCCCAGTTTCTGATGAGGTGGACATGATAACCCTTAATACACATAACGTTATTCATCCTTGAGCAAGGCACTGAACTCCCAACTGCTCAGGGTGCCTGTCCATGGGCAGCCTCCTCACTCTGACGTCTCTCCATTTAATGCATGTATAGGTCCTGTTTGTGCATGTGAGTGTATTTCAGGCCTGTGTCTGTATGACAACAGAGTGAAGACACTGAATTTCACCTCAGGGATTAATAAAGTACGACGTCTTCTTCTTCTATATAATCAGACTGGAGTCGCCCCCTGCTGGACATTAGAAAGAATGCAGGTTCACATTTCAGACCTAGATGCTACAACCTGACCCCTGACCTCTGCTGACACCATCAGCAGGAAAGGGACAGATCTTGATAATCCCCTTTTAAGACTTAGTGTAAAACACCTTTAAGAGTTTGATAAAGTCTGGTCTGGCTCACTGGATGTAGACTGTGGATATAAGCCCACCCCTGGACACTGATTTACACCAGTGTTCTCTCTTCCTTCTGCTATCTGTGTGTTACCGTTTCCAGATCCCCTTCACTACAGAAAACAACAACCTCTGAGTTAACGACCCACAGGCTGAAAATGTCACATTTTAATGAAGACTTGAAGTGCAGTGAGGCATGGCTGCTTTGTTGTTTCAGTAAAATGTTGTTAAGATCTACAACGAATAAAACAACTTGTGAACGCACCTCAGGAGAGACCAGACTCTGTCGTGATGTTGATCTGACACGGCCAATCGGAGTTGATTAGTCACGTCTTTTTAACGTTGCAGCTTCATGCACCGGTGACACTGACCATGACGCCAGTGTACTGATCCATGTCACACAAGCTTCTATTATATCGCCATAATATCGATCTGTTATAGCCACAGACAGCCAGCAAATCATCTGTGGTTATAACAGGTCCACTGAGCGTCTCCAGAGCTAAAGTATAGTCAGGCCCCTATCACACAGAAAATGTTTTAGCAGCTGGAGGCAGCTTTTTATAATTGTTTTTAATGAGAATTAAGCTTTTTGCTCGCTGTTTTTGCATTGTGACATGCCTCACATTTTTGCACTCTGGGCGCCTGGCATTTTTGCCAGAGCACCTAAACTCCTCGAAAGAACTTCAACTCATAGTGGAAAAGTGCTCCACATCGTCTCCGCTTTTTTTCCCATAATCCAATCAGATGATTTGAGAGGCGGGCCTTCTGTGGTGGTCACAACAACAAGTTTACAGTTGGTAAACAATGGAGGAGAAACTGGTGGTAGTGATTGCTGGATACCCAGAACTATACGGCCCGACGATAGACAGCAGGTTGTGAAACTGCCCCTGAGTCATCCTAAAATATGCCTGGAAACATCCATGATGGAGGAGAAGCTCCTGGACCAACTGGTGGTACTCCCCATGATCCAGCCTCTTTTTTAGGGTCTCATGTACCCACACAGATCTCTGTTTATCTGCTGACAGCCTCTCACCCTCAACCAGAGCTACAGACAATACCCTCTGCTTCAACATGTCAGGAACTATGCACTGATTACTGTCAAAAACAAACAAACAAAAAAAAAAAAACGGTAAATTGATTACATGGGGAGGTTAATGAAAGGATGTGATGGGGTGGGTGCTTGGCAACAATAAAGGGCACAGCAAGCATTTTTTTAACTAGTTGCACTCAATAAAAAAGAAAAAAAGGCAGCGCCGTGCACCTCTCATTTTGCAATCTGTGAAACGCTTTCTGTGTGACCAGGGCTTCACCTCTAGGGCTCCGATTATCAGATCATGTTTGTCTTTATATCACGTCTGTTACTGTTTTCTGTGGCGCTTTCTTTTGTGGGGCCATTTTAATGACAGTGCTCACCCTCTCATGTACTTATGTTTCACCAAAACAAGTTCACCCCCAACATTATTTAGCAAGAACACTGTTGCTGCATCCTGGGCTGAGCTCTGCCCAAGACGACAGTGATTTGTTTAAAGAAACAAAAACAAGGTCTGCTCTTCCTCTTTGGGTTAGCTGCTAACTGCTATCGGCTACTTTTTAAATCCCCTGCAGTGGGTTGCATGCGTAACATGTCATCAAAACATCACACCTGTAACACCCATGATCCCGTCCCACCAGCTGTTCTTACATTGTTTCAGCGTTGTTACTACCTCTGATGCCACCTTAAAGGCGAGACTCTCTGTCCCCCAATTCTGAGATTGTACCTTTTATACAGAACAGTAATCTAATGGTGTGAAATTCTCCCCTTGATGAGGGAGTGTAAAAGGTACTGTAGAGTGTGTAGATGCCTCACAGACAGCCTGTCACTCAAACCAACTATGCCCTTAGATATGCATAACTTTAAGCCTTCATTACATTTAAATGACTCATTTACATAAAATTCACTCCCTGTAGTTGTCATGAATGTTAAAATTTACTTTAGCGACCAAAACTGTTTTTGTACCAGGCTGTAAACATGTTTATTTCTGCTGTAATGTTGGACATTTTAACATGGCGGTCTGTGGGGATTAACTCGCTCCTGGAGTCAGCCTCAAGTGGCCATTAGAGGAACTGCAGTTTTTGGCTTCATTTATCAACTACTCGCAGGAAACAGGTGGAGTTTCCCTTTAATGTGTTGGAGGGTTAATCTGCTCACAGCCACCAGAGGGCGACACTGAAACACCTCCTGCTACAAGTGTGAAGGTTCAGGGTAGAGGAGGTAAACAAGGAGGTAGAGGAGGACAGGAGGAGGTAGAGGAGGACAGGAGGAGGAAGACCTCTGGCTTCCGGAGGCCTCCAGGTTCTCCTGGTTGTGTGTGATGTATTTTTTATGATGGAACCCTGCAGCAGGTTTGGGTTGTTTTTGAAACTGAAGTCGGCTCACAGATGAGTTATTATCAGACAGGAGGTCTCACTCTGTCTCTGCAGCTGAGAACCAAGAAGAGACATTCATCATGTTACACAGATGAGATGCAGTACATGCTGCATTATAGTGCAAATAAATGTCATTCAGATTTATGTAAAGCCAGTCAATAAGTAATTATGAAAAATAAATATGAAACTAATACTTGATAATAATAACAGTGAAATATGAATCATATAAACATTAAGTGTAGATTAAAAAAATCTTATCAAATGTTTTGTTTGTTTGTTTTTTTGTGGTCTGTCTTTTTGAATTTATAAATTTAATTCTATTAATTAGAGGAAGCATTAAAAACTTTGCTTTGTGCTGTGTAGTCTTGTGTGTGATTTATAGTGGAGGAAATCTCCGCTCATCGCTAGGCTAATTTATACAATGTAAAATGCCATAGGCTTGTGCTAATAATGTTAGCATGTTATATTTTTGAGGAAAACGTGTTTAGTATAAGACAGTTGTTTTGTCAGTGAACTTTGTGAGCTGTAATTGGGCCGAATATTGTAACATTACCTTTGTTAAATGTTGCTGTTGTCAATGGTTTTATATGAGCAGAGGAAATCCCTGCTTGTCGCTAGGCTAATTTATACAATGTAAAATGCCATAGGCTTGTGCTAAAAACATTAGCATGTTGTATTTGTGGGGAGAATGTGTCCAGATAAAGACAAGTGTTTGTCTGTGAATGCTGCGAGTTATAGTGAAGCTGATTTGTGTACTTGTGTTTGAAGTTGTCTCTATTAGGCCATGTTTAGTGTGTGTTTAGTGTGTGTATAATGTGTGTTTAGAATCAACTAAACTTTACAGCATTTCACAAACTGACTAGTGTTTTGGAGGTGTAACTGCAGAGTGACACAGACACACCACTGCACAAGTATAAATGCTCACAATGGCTGATGCACAAGTATAAATCCTGCTTAAATCTGCGGGTGCGTTTAGAAGGCATGTTTTCTTTAAATATCTGCAGTAAAATAAATACAAAATACAGCCATTTAGAGTTGTATGCCCCTCCCTTAGGCCAAATCAGGAAACAAAAGTCCCTTCCCCAGTGCTTAGAAAAATATTTGACACGCCTCCACCTTTTTGCACCACCCCTTCCCCTCTCACAAGTAACGAACAGTCCCTTGATACATTAGTTCCACCAGTGTAAACTATCCTGTTGAATATAGACGATCTTTGGCAGCCTTGACTACGTCATGACGCAGCTGCTCCAGCTGGACGTTACGTCGCTGCACTCGGTCAGTAGTTGTTAGAGGAGTCAGAGGAGAAGAGGTGCACCGTTTTAAACCCGATTTAACATTTTAAAACAACATTTAATCAACAGTTAACGGAAGGAACCGACACCCGGAGTGTTTGAGATTAACGGGACTCACCGGGGAAACAAGAGTTTGGCGGTTTTCGTCGCTGCCAGCAGGTTTTTTTCCGGAGAGATTTCCTCCTCCAGGTTAGTTTGACCCTCGGCCTCTTCTCGGTCTGTTAGCTTCTGATGCTAAAGCTATTTGTGTGAAAACAAACTCACACAAACACGTTCACATTTACTGATTAATCACTATTTTATGAATGTCGACGCGCTGTTTTCCTTCCCCGCAGCTGAGTGGTAGTTAGCCGCAGAGGCTAGTCAGTTAGCCAGGTGTATCATAGCTTCAGACGGCCGCGGCTAGTAGCATGCTAGTTAGCGCTGCGGCTAGTAAAGTTTGGCGACTTGTTTCGGGACCCAGCTCTAGTTACAGGCTGGTTGTTTGTTTGTTATCAGTGAGTTTAACCGTCTGTTAACTGCTGTATGCTAACTGACATTAGCTGACAGACAGTGATGAGGCCTCAGACTGAGGTTTACAGCAGCTGTTTGAAGCCTCAGATAGCAGCTGTGTTAGCTAGCAGACCTGGGCAGCATATCTACTGTATGTCCCCACATCAGTATCCTCTTATTATGACTCAGTAAGGAGAGCTTTCAGAGGGTTTTATGTTCTCAGTAGTGTTTTTCTTCAGGTCACATGTTCAGTGTTTGTGTCTCTGCAGCTTGTTATGTAGAAATCAGCCACCTACAGTTTATAACTAATGTTATACTCACTGCAGACTGACGCTACGCCCTCAAATTTGCGGCCCAGCCAGTTTTACTGACTTTAGACATCGATATATCCGCAGAGGCTCAACGGATTTTTAACATTCATATTGCATTTGAAACGTTCTTCTCCCCTCGTGATTTTGCACCCTTGACTGCGCAGATCGCTCTCACCAATCTTTGGCAATGTTAGTTTATATCAAGAGACACATATGAATGTTTGTACTTGTTTTAAAACACTATGAAGGCATTTGTTAAATGTGTCTGATATTAAGGGAATAGAGAGATGTCAGCTTCAGACTGCAGACTCAGCAGCTGTCTGTCTGTCTGTCTGTCAGTCTCTTAAAAGATGTCTGCAGGTTGTTATTGTGCTCTGACCTGCAGCTGGAGGTTGGTAGAGCTGGTTAACACTGGTCACTGCTGGAGGACTGTAGTTAGTTTCTATCAGGTTTCATTGACTCGCTGTGAGGAGGTTCTGCCTCACCTGCATTATGATCCACATTGGCTCAAAAAACCCACAACAAATCTGTACTTGATTATGGTTCATAATGATAAAAGTTCTGCAAAGTATTTTGCATTAATTTAGAGAATTGCACAGTTTGTTTTTTGTTTAGTTTTGTTTTTGCACCTGAGAATTTTGTCATTTCACCTCATGAAAAAATATCTTACACAGGAACCCCTTTTATTCATGATATCTGGGAGTGACTCAGACAAAAACGTGTACAATGATTCAGATGATTGAAAGACACAAGCAGACGTCATATTTCTTACTACTGGCTACTACTACTACTATTACTGGGCCCTCAAAATATTTACAATATTTCTATATGCAACATTTACAGTTAACTTGTAATTTATCCTCACAAAAGATAGCGGTTGTGAGCTTGTTTTAATTTAATGTCTATTTAATTACTTTTGCGAGGCAAACATGCAGCACATACGAATATTTTCTATGCTGCCACCCAGAGACGAATGTTAACGGAGCAGAGCAGCGATTGGCAGTAACATTAACAATCGCTGACCAACACCTTGCAGCATGAAACAACCTAAACCAACCCTGTGGTGAGGAAAATGATTCTCTGCTCAGTCTGTTTCACCTAAAAATAAACCTGCGCCCGGTCTGCTCAGCATCTTGTCCCAGAGCTAACGGTGCAGCAGAGAGGCTGCTCCATGAAATTTATAAAAACACAGTGCAGCAGGAGACTGTACGGTGCTTTCAGATCAATTATGATATTAATGAATGCCGTTTTTAAAATACAAAGACTGCAAAGCATTTATTATTAAATAGTATGTGAATGCAGACTGTTTCGGGTGAATTGTTCAAGTATACAAACCAGGGATACACAATAATATTAACACACCATTAGAACCTGCCAACATGACTGCCAGATTCTTCATTTCACAGCAGAACAGTACACTAATGTATGTTTCTGACAACATTTGAGGTGAGAAATAGGCAGCGCAGTTACAGAATCTCTGAGCATGCTCCGCAGTTTCTTGACCCAGTAGTCGAATAGCATTAAATGTCTAACAGAAGAAGACGTCGATAACATTGTGGTAAAATCTACATCCAGACCCATGCATTTTTGGACAGACGAGGAGACACAGTTCATGCTGTGCTGGGATGTGCCATATCATCTCGTTCACAATAATACCGGTATAATTTTTAATATGATATGAAGAATTTATATCATGATACTCAAAATATTTCGACTTGTTGACATATTGACACCATACTGTTACCCGCAGCAACAACAAGCATGTCTGAAAGTGAAATTATCATCGTCTCTGCGGTGGTTCCAAAAAGAGGAGCGGCTTCAGTAGTGTGGAATAAACTGTGGCATCCTGAATGTTTTATGAACAGCCCCGGACTTCTTAGACTCTTTTAGTGACTTACCGCTCAGAGGGAACTCATTCAGTGGCTCCTTCTCTCCTCTCTCGCTGTGCGCACACAGGAGTCGGTGTCGTCAAGTGATTTTGTCATAAACGTTTGGTGATGTAAACCTACTTGAATAAATTCCATATATGTGACTGTGTGATAGTTGTGGTATCATAACAGCCTGTCACAGGTTACAGCGTGATGATTAGAGGAGAAATGGCAGAGCATAAAGGTCCAGGTGGAAAAAAACAACTCAGTCATTTAGGATTTTACTAAAAGAAGGAAATCACCTGTTGATTTATATATATATATATCCCAGGGGACATGTTTTGTATTTGGGAGCTGTTTAAATGTGTAATTTGTGGCAGATTTGATTTGTTGAACTATTAATATTATAACAGAATCTGAATCTCACTCTGAGTCACTGTTGTTGTTCACAAACTAAAGAAATGAGAGATCATTTTAGTTTTTACTGAAAGAAAACACGGAATGGCGAGATAGACAACGTTCTGTTGTTTGGGCTGTGACGTAATTGGTCATCCAGAAACATGTCCAATACTAACAAGCTGAAAGGGGGCATATCTCCACCTATCGTAGAGGAGCCGGACAAATTTCTGTCAATAAATCGATTCTCCTCCTGTGCTTGTATACTGGGACAAGGACAGTAGTCCAATGAAATGGCCGAATTGAGCTGTATCTGTAGTTAGATTTAACTGCATTTAAATGTAGTTACTGATGGTTTCTCGTTAGTTTATCACAACTCTGATTTCACTTTCTCCACCTAAGGGGTCACTTCCTAGTTTTATTTTAAAAGTTTCATAACAACTACAATCTGCTTCAATATTTTCAGCTGAGACAGAAACAGAAAAAAACCCTCTGGTAGAGGAACCTGTCTGCTGTGTATCAGCTGCTCCTGTTCAGACATGTGCAGGTATGTTAGTGTACAGTTTTTACTTTCATGCTGCTGTCGCTGCAGGTGAGTCTCTGCTGGCTTTAAACCTTTAGCCGTACGTTGTTAGGTTCATGTGCTGAGGTTCACACAATGAGTCAGTTGGCTGTGTGTCAGTCACACAATCAAAGACCCGCCTGCAGGTGAGCACTCAGCTGAAACAGCACCAGAGACGGAGGGAGAGTTGTGTGTTGACCTTATTCTTTGCCTGGCACACACACACACACACACACACACACACACACACACACACACACACACACACTGGGCGTTGTGGTGTTTTCCCAGCATGCCTTGTGGTTGAGGCAGTGGAGGGTGTGGTCGTCTGGCTGAACAGGCCGAGACGAGTTTCAGAGGAACCGAATCTGCTCCTGTTGTTCACCCTGACCAATCACAGGCCTGTAAACACAGTCACATGACTCAGACAGCTGGACGAGTTAAAAACAGAAAGCACCAAATGTGAGCAGCAGAGGTGGAGATGTCCTACATGTCCCATGGTGCACTGGGGTAGAGTCTTTCATTCACACCTCCGGCTATGTAACAGTCATGTATTATATATAATAACCTGAACTGTGATTGGACGATTGGGTGCGTGAGTCAGAGGTCACAGGAGCAGACTGGGGTGAGGAAGGGGTTTAATTACAGGTCCAGTGTCAGCTTCCCAGGGCAGTGAGGAATTCTGGGTAGTTAGTGACCCTGCTGACACTGTGTAGAGTTTGTTTTAATGACCTGCTGCAGCCAGACGGGTGGAGTCACATTATTTCCCCCTCAGACGTTCATCATAAGACAGACGTCTGTACACCTGTTAGCATGTAGCATTGAGCTAATTCTACCAGCGGAGGAATGTGCTGTACAGTGTGTGTGTGTGAGTGTGTGTGAGAGAATCTTCAGGGGTAACCAGTAGCAACACACCCACACCAGTACAGAGTCATGTGATGGTCTGAGCACAGCGTGGGCTCTGCGGACCCATTGATCACCTGCTGCCTTATATAGACAGCAGGAGAGAGTTCTAGCAGCTGATAGGCTCATTGACTGACTCTCACACACACACACACACACACACACACACACACACACACACACACACGCACTATGTGTGTAAGCAGAGCTGAGTCTGACAGCAGCTGCTGGGTGTCACTTTATAGAAGCAGCTGGAAGTTGTGCTGCTGCTGCTGAAGCATTTGTTGTTGTTGCGGTCCAACATTTGCGCTGGGCAGGGTGCAAGGGAATGAGATTTTCAGGGTGCGATAATATTACAGTATCACAGATAATATTGCGGTTTCACGGTATTATGGTTATACAGAATTTATATTATTACCAATCAGAATGAGCCTTAAGGGAATAAAAACAGACGGGCATTTTGGTTTGAACAAATGTTTTATTGCTATAATTTAAACTTGAAAGTTGAAACCATTTTGTTAATGGATGTTTGTGTAAAAAGTCTACATTTTGAAAATAACTAAAATAAAGGGGAGATTCTGCGTCCAGTTGCAATTTTTTTCCCCAATATTGTAGATAAGCAAATGTACACAGTATGATAACCGTCAACGTTTATATGATGGTGTACCTTGAGACTGGTATTTTGCTGCAACCTGAGGGCTGGGTATTACAGTTGGGTTGATTTCCTGTTTAGCTGGTCTGGTCTGGTGTACAAGCTTAAACCATCTGATTTGATCCAAACCGGCTGAACCAGCATTTGTCGTTAAGACACGTTCTGCACCAAATCCAACTGATATTTAATAAGTTATCCGATGATAATTTGATCAAGATTTTATCATGTTTGTTTATTAAAAGGACGAATTAACCACTAGGGGTGTGTGATATATCGAATATTCTTGATGTATTGTGGCCTGTTCCACGTGGGGTTTATAAAATGACTAGCCTATGCTGTGTACATAGAGTATGAATTGTTTCATTGTTTTTTTTAAGTTGCCAGCATGAGATTCGTGTCTGTGTTTTGATGAGGTATCCGAAACCAACTCCAAGAACTTTAGTCAGATGTCCAGTTTCTATTTATCCCTGTCGATCACTTAGAAAGTCTCGCAATGGACGAGTATGGATGGTTCTCTGTAAAAATGCAAAGGAGGTGTAAAGAAGGGACTTCGTGGCCTTATAGTGCGATCTCTGTGTAAAAGGGTAAAAGGGCTGTGACTGACAGAATTGGAGAACATATTCTTGTTATGCACCAAATCACCGAGGCAAAGTCCTTGTATGTTAAAGCCCGATTGTGTGTGTTTTTCTGCAGAGGGTGCGTGTGCGTCCTGAGGGGGTGGAGCCAGACAGACGGCGTGTGGTTCTGTTTCCTGTCTGGGAGGAGTCACAGTGAACGTCTGAGAGATGTGAAGCTGAAGGATCAGAGGAGCTGTCACTCAAACCAGGACCACTCCCCCAAACACTACCAGCCAATCAGCACGTAGTCTGGAGGTAAACTTACTTTTTAACACAAAGTCAGTTCAAAGTCGAAGCTACGAGACGCCTGTGGACATAAAGACTGAAGTCACTACGACTCCCAAACAGCCAATCATAGAGCTCGTTCTGAAGTCACCCCACCTCTGACCAGGCGCTTCTCCATGGCAACAGCAGTTGAGGCTCATGGGTATTGTAGTATTTGTCTAGCTGTGTTCAAACAGAATGCAAAGTGAGTGTTCGGGGCAGTGTGATTCAGGGCTGCACCCAACGATTAATTTTTTATCGATTAATCCAACGATTATTTCTTGACTAGTCGACTAATCTAATGTCTAATTCATTGATCCGCGCCTCGTTTTCAAACTGTATAGTTTGACTAAAATGAACAATGACAGCAATATAGTCCACGATGAGCAGCGCTAAAATCAATCTGCGTAGGTGTCCCTCCATTGTGACATTAGAAAGTGTCACATTTATCTTGCAAGTGTACTCTTCTTCAACGTTTGCTTTACTTCCTGGATTTTTCGCACGTGGAAATTCCGACCAATCAAGAGCAGCTTTCCGCTGGTCCGCTTGTTAATGGTGCCGTGAGAACACGAACCAACTCTAGGCAATTATACAACTTTGGAACAACATGAGTCCCTGATTCAGACCAAAGGAGACGACTCTAGGTGGATTTATTTTTGCATCAGTGTGGGGCGAGGAAAATCAATCACGAATGATTTACTGTAACAGAGGTCACAGACCATCACAACGGACTGTAATGTTAGTTTAAGCTGTTTTCTCGCTTGTGCCTGTTAAAGTAAAGTAAATATAAAACAGTGGAATAATAATGTCAGATGATGCATGCAGTATCATCAGCGGCGGAGCAGAAAGTTTCAGTGACTACTATCAACAGAAACACGTTCTGCCTGTTGATAATCCTGACACATCATGCTTGGGTGGGGACAAAAAGTAAACCAGAGCGGTGCTGTCTTGCTGCTCTTTTGACAAATGCTCCGGGAGACTTTCACTTTTAGTGTCTGTGCGCTGTAGTTGCACTTCAGTGAGAAGTCCTTTTAACTTTGTAGGTGAGGTTCCAGCTACAGCTTGTTCTCTGGAGGAATCCATGCTTTCACCGGGTGCAGCCTGCTTTATTGCGATGCACCAATGCATGTTTTTTGCGATGATTGTAAAAGTCAGTTTAGAGATGTGATGAAACAGAATTCACCTGTGAGGCACAAACTGACGTACACTTTAAAAATGTTTCAACATGAATAAACAATGTGCTTCACTTTCTGTCTGAACCTGAAGGCTGAAAGCACAGGTGAGTTTTCAGAGGTCTTTAAACTTTAGTTTTTATCGGTATATATTGATGGTGTGTTTCTGTGTGGACATCATATATAAAGTTTGAGTTGACTTATATATGAAAAATATAAAACACATTCAGTCCTCAGTTTTAGAAACTCACAGTGGATGTTTCGACTTTGTTCTGTAGGATGACATCGCTGATGATGTAACTGAAAAGTGAGTCATGACTGTTACACAATCCTACAGCGACTGTTCCCCTCCATGAACCTCCACACTCAACTTTATACATCAGACTGAGGCAGAAACATGCAGCAAATTCAAACACTGAAACATGTTACACAGGCGTCTTCATTTCATCTCGTTACAGAGAAAAGACAGCAAACGTGAATCACACTGTTTGTGTTTTAACTCCTCGGCCAACAGGACACCTCATATCTACCAGATTCATAACACTGCATGAAGGAAGAGTTTAACATCCAGAACAAAAAGACTCTGACACTATATATAAAATGATGAATGAGTGACGAGGCTGGTTAATGAACATAAACATCCAGCTGTTCTTAATAAACTAGACAGGATGTAGACAGACACTAAAGTTACACTTCTAATAATCTTATGTGTTGAACTTTTAAATGACATTAAATGTAAAGTTTTGGGAACTTCAAAGTCCCCTCCAGACACGTTTTAATGTAAAAATACAATGATTAATATTTTGCTCAACATGTTTTTTTCCCCACATAAAAAGTAAATATGAACTCTGTCAAGAGGATGGAAGCCGATCTACTCTTTCTCCCTCTTACCCTTCTTTTACCAGCATGGAATGGGTTTCGTTACCGCTCCCACACTTAGTTCTAAAATAGACTAAAATGCCCAGATAATCCAATTGGGAGTTGAGTTCCTCCTGCATGTATACAGCTAATTGGACCCAAACTGGCCGAGGCACTTGGCACAGTGTCAGCCCTGGGCTTTGACCCAGAAGTCGAAAGCATCAAATGCAGAATAGAAGAAGAAGCTAATAACAACATGGTGAAATCTACATCTAGAGCTGTGCATTTTTGGACGGACGAAATGTACAGAGCCTGAAAGTTGTCCACCATGGTACCAGTTAGCTGCTAGCCAATCTGGAAATCCATCGGTAAAAAAACCTCTGGAGGCACAGCCCGGAGTTTTTCGACTAACGGAAGTGCAGGGGCCTCTGCGATCGCTCACGGCCTTCACTTCCGGCGGTGCCCCCAGGGAATCGCAGTGTTGTTTACAAATACTTTGGGTAGAAAACCAGCAGAGTTTAGCTATATATCACATTTTTCACGTCACTATATCACCGTGTAGACTAATCTGATGTTTGTTAAGTCTATAAGCACAATGACTGAACAAACGTTACTATTTCTGTATGCACGTTTTGTAAATAATAACAATAATAACATCGTAGATTAGATGGGCTAACCATTAGCTGTTAACGTTAGCCGTTAGCGGTGTCTGTAATAACCATAGACTGTATAAAAATAAGGTAATAACTCAATAAACTGTCCGTGAATAAAATATTTTATTTTATATATTCCAGCAGATATCTAAGCTACATCATGATTGAGCTAGCAAAACAGTTTTGTGTTGCTATGTGTGGTATTTATTCAGTTACGGGAAATCACGATGTCTAGAAAGCATCAGTGGCTGCAGCTGAAAGGGACAGCTAACAGCAGCAACAAAGCTAACATCAGGGCGTCATCTGTTAAAAGCCTCCAGTTGTTGGATACGACATGAAACTACTCCAGTTAGCTCAATCATGTTGTAACTAAGACATCCGCTGGAAAAAATATTTTTTTTCACGTTGACAAGATGGCGTTTTGGGTTGAGCGGTCGCTATGAACGCGGAGCTTGCTGTTTCTGTTGGTACACATTTCTTGGGGACACCTGCAAGTCTCGGCCACGCCCCCTCCATTGTGATTGGCTAAAGCGCAGCATCGTTCAAACTCAAAGCCCCGCCCTCCCCCCCTCTCTAGTCGTCTTTCACACAGGACTGCCGACAGATTCTACAATGTAAATTGCAGAATCTGTCTTGAGAGATTAGCTGCTAGCTAACTGTAGCTAACTTGTTCCTGGATTGTTTGAAACAGGGCATATCGCCACCTGTCCTAGCAGAGTCAGACACACTGAGGTCAATAAATGGATTCCCCTCCCGTGCTTGTATAATGGGACAAGGACAGTAGTCCAGTTGAATGGTCTAGTTGAGCTGTAACTGTAGCTCCACTTATCTGTGCATGTTAACGTTCTGACTGACCCTGATGAAGCCTGTGAGTTGCAACCCGTTGGTCTTTTTAATCTATATTGCCATGTAAAATAAAGGCATTTCAATTTTTGCACAAACCCTACAGTGTGCCTTGGGTTGTTTTCGAAGGGGACTTGCATTTTATATTTTTTGATTTAGAGTATATTTTAGTCGTGTTTCACAAGAAAGAATAAACAAAGTGCACCTGAAGTATCCAAAGACATCTGTATGTGATGACAACTAAGGGCCCGTCCCAATACCCCCCTTTAGCCTTACCCCTTGGCCCTACCCCTAGATTTGCGCGTTCCAGCGAGGGGTAGTGGTGTCCCAATTCCTTTTTGCGTGTAGGGGTAGGGGGCATAATGAGGGGTAGTGGGTATGAAACTAGCCCTTCGGAGTGAGGAATTTCAGATACTGATTTGCCAGCGAGGGGTAGACGTCACCATGGCTACCACCGAGAAAGAGACGTGGAAAAAATGTTTTTATTGCTATTCAAGATGTCTAGATTGGAGATGACAGAAAGCTAGCCAGCTAGCAAACGTTACCGTCGTCAGGTTGCTTGTTAGCTAGCTAGCTAGCTAGCTCACACTATCTGGCGTCTGTCATCTGTCCTGGTCTGCAAAATTGTCGGATTTTTCACATTACGATAACGCCGGCTAGTATAACTATGCTGCCTCGTAATGTTAGCTGGTTAGCTAGCTAGCCAGCTAGCAGAAGTCCCCTGTCGTACATATCTTATTACTCTAATGGTACGTTAGTAGCAAGCACAATAGTAGCTAATGTTACTGTTATGTTGTAGATGCTAGTTGGAAATGTAGATGGCTCGTGGCTTCCTGTTTAAAATAGTTGACGGTGACGTAGTGAGTGGTGTCCCAATTCCTAGGGAAAGATTTCAACCCCTACCCCTCGTTGCGTCATTTCAAGGGCCAAGGGGTAGTGGGCAAGAGCTAAGGAGTAGTGGCCTTACGACCCAGGAGCACTTCAACTCCTTTGTCTTCACATACAATATCACCTGCATAGCACCTGCTTCTTCTCTTAAAGCCCTCACGTTGCAGTAGTGTTATGCTAATGATATGGAAAGCGCCACCCTTCAGATTGACAGGATTGGTTCTTCAGATTTGTGATGTAACAAACCTGCACGGCTGAATCTGTGTTTGTGTGACTGTCACTGGGACACTGCAGCTCTGAGGGGGAAATGCAGCCGTGGCATTAACTGCTCATGTCTCTCATCATATGAAACACATAAAAAAACACCATATGGACACGTTAACAAGGTTAAACACTCAGTTTTCATTGGAGGGGGTCTTTATAGGAGCGGCAGCTGCAGAGTGAACATGGATGAAGTCATCATCGCTGTGACTGGGAACAATTAGGATTACACAATATGAAGTCAGAGAGACTAATCAGAGCCAGAAACACTGTTATATAATGCACACACACACACACACACACACACACACACACATATATACAAATCAAGGTTAGAGGTCAATCAGAAACAAGAGTTTAAATGTGTAAACAGTAAAAATCTTGAAACAATATACCTTCTTCTCAGCAGACACTTTGACACGTCATAGCAGGAACAGCACAGGTGTATTTAATAACACCTGCATTCCACTCAGGGGAGGTCCTGGTGTTGTCAGTGACACACTGGAGTGTCTTACTGGGACACTTACTGAAAGTCAAAATGTCCATCTGCTTACAGCTGTTAGTAGACACGTGACATCAGATCAGCTTTATTGATCCAGAGAGAAACAGCAGAACACAGAGTGCAAAATAAAACACAGAATATCAACAAAGATTATCAGTAAGGTGCCAAAACCAAAAGTACACATTACAGGAATGTCAGCAGGTTAACTGAGAGTAAACATTCGTGGTCAACAGTGAGGTTCAAATTCAGAAATACAGAAATGTATAACATGACAAAAATAACAAATTGTATACAGTGCAGTGAGAGGCAGAAAACTGAGTGGGCTTATTTAAAGCCTCCACCTGAAAAAGTCACAATTTTACAATGTTGTAAAAATCAGAAAAACATAAAATAAATAAAAATAAAATAAATTTTTTTTTTTAATTAAAACAAATAAAAATAAAAACAATAATATGACAATATTAAAGAGGTGCAAATGAAGATTATCTTCTTTAAAGTCCCACTGAAACATCAACACGAACTTTTTAATCAGTCAGTAAACAGATAGTTAATCTGCAACAGTTCTGATCAGCTGTTAATCGTTAGTCAAAAATCAATAAAAACTTCCACTAATTGTTTGTTTTATAACCAGGGCTGTCATTTGATTGAAAAAAAAAATCTGATTAATTACATGCTCTGTGATTAATTTAAATTAATTGCATACCTCAATTTTTGCTGTGAAAGTAAAGTATTTGAAAATTTCAGTTAAAATCAATGTTGGCAGATATGTTGTAGTAAAGCAGCTGGATTTTGGACACAGTTGTCCCACAGTTGTTTGACATGGCTGGCTGCTAGCGTTAGCATCAGAGGCTGTGCTAGCTCGGACCTCTTTGCGTTGATGTGATATTTCAGGCTTGAAGTTCTCCGATGGTGTGAAAATCCCTGACTGCACTGCAGAGGACAGCGCTCCTATCAACATTTACATCTGGGCGTTTTTAAATGTAAATGTTCCATTCATGGGGCCGAGGTAGAAATATTGGCGGAACCTTTTTAGTTTAAAAAGACCGAGGCAGCCTTCTACAATGGGAGGGGCTGTTGACTTGTGGGAGGAGCTGTTGATGACACTGCACGTGCGACCCACTGACAGTGGATAAACAGGAAACAGCTGATAGCAGGAATTAGTGAGCAGCTAGTAGCAAGAGGGAAACACAAACCTGACAGACACTGTAAAGATGAGCAACTGGGGAGACAAGGAATTGCGCGCCCTCCTTGTACTCGCAAACAAAGAGGCCATTAACCGTCAGATGACGGGGACGTTAAAGAACAGGCCGACTTAAGAGAGAATCGCCGAAGGACTGACCAGCTGCGGCTTCCCTCCCACGTCACTGTTTACGTCACACGCTGAGCTACATGTTTTGTTACTTGCTCACACCCCCCATTGCCCCGAAAAAGGCACATTCTGTATAAACAAAAGTAGGAAGACGGCATTTTGCTGCACTCCCCGATTTTGTTTTTATACTGCCAATACTGAAAAATGACTGATTGGGCTTTCCTGCAAATTTGCACAATTCCTATCTAAAAAGTGCTACTGTGGCCTTCAGTGACGCACCGGGTCAAAAGGCACCACAGAACGCGAGTAATCAGTGTTTTTAACGCATTATTTCGACAGCCCTATTTATAACTGAATCTCTTTTTGTTCTGGACACTTGAGGACGTCATGTTGGACTCTGAGACATCTTTACAGAGTTTTTATAGACGAATTAATTAATCAGTAAATTCAAAAATCTTAATTAAAAAAAGAAACATTCTTCATGTGCAGCCTTATTCAGTGTCAGATATACACTGAACAAAAATTTAAATGCAATACTTGCGAAAGGCATCTGAAAGCAGCACAAGAAAAGTGATGTCGCTCCAGGTTTCGAAAGGTTAATCAACATCTTGATACGACACACATGTCAGGTGAATGGATTGTCTTTGAAAAGGAGAAGCTATCACTAACATGGATTTTAACAAATTTGTGACCAAAAAGTGCATTTAAATTTTCGTTCAGTGTGTTTCTGGGCGAGGTCTCACTCTGCCAGCTAACGGGCAGCTGTTTTACACACACTGAACAAAACTTTAAAAGCAACACTTTTGTTTCAGCTCCTTTTTTGCAGGTTGAATTTATCTGAGACTTTTTATGCTCAGTAGAAACATTTATCTCAAGTTTGGGTTGCAAATTTGTTGAAATCAGCATGAACAAAAACAAAAACATTAAAGTGCATTGAACTTTTTGTTCAGTGTTTATGTGTGTTGGGGGTGGGGGGGGGGGCAGATCCAAGCTGAACTGAGAGCAGCTGATGTAATGCTGCTGCACCGTGTGTGTGTTCATGATGTCATCCTGTAGTTAAAATGTCCTGCACATGTGTGCACACGTGGTCAACTGCAAACAGTGAAATGAAAAGAGGCAGAGAGGAGCCGACTGTGATTGGCCGACACGGCTGTCATTTAAAACCCCAACATGTCAAGTTAAAAAACTCACAACTCAAGCTTCACTTAGGAGCTTTTTTCCAGAGCTGTGAACAGTTTGTCAGTCTGAGCGTCGAGCTAATGACGTGTGGTTAAAACACCAGGAGGTGAATATGCAGTCGTACAGATGCAGCGACAGGTTTGTGACAGAGACACACCATCTGTTAGCAACATTAGCATCGTGGCTAAGGCTGTTTGGGGTAGTGGTAAACACTGATGTGATGGGAAGAGTGTGCAGAGTCTCTCACTGTGCTCCAGTAAAACCAGTGAGTCTCAGTCTGAATAACCAGTGCTTATAAGGCATTCTTCACCCCGCAGCTCTGATAATAAAAAGAGAGAGATCACATGATGTTCAGAGGTGTGTGTGTGTGTGTTTTCAGTCTGCACACTCCTGAGAGACAAATCTGTCCTTGAAAGGCCCGAGCTGTTTTTAACCTCTCTGAGTGACACACACATTATTACACTCCGAAATATCTTCAGTCTGCTTCAGATGGTTTCACATCTCCTGAGTTACTGAAGAGATTGTTTAGTGGGGCTGAGTAGGGTTCTGATCTGTAGTCACAGTTAAGGCTGCTCCCCTGACTAGGAGTTTTTCTAGTCGACCAGTAGTCGTCATTTAGGTCCATTAGTCGACTAGTCTCCCGCATGTTTTTGATGTTCATGTAATGATTTGATTTCTGGTCAACTGTTTGGGAGCAGCCCTAGTCACAGTAGATGTCAGTCGTCTCACTCCCAGAAGCAGGCAGGAGTCCAACATGGAAGCTAAACAATGTACTGCTGTGGATGGAGGCAGCAACAAAACATATTTTAGACATCTAAAAAATCAATATCAGTTTAACTATATGCCATATTTAGAGTATTTTCACCACTTTACTTTAATGTCATACAGTGATTTCCAACAGAAAATGAGTCAGTTGTATCTCTCTCTTCAAAGCCAAACTCCATTGAGAAAAACAGTGATTTAACACTGCTGAACACAGGAGCTGCTGGTCTACTGCTGCCTCTATCAGTTAGCTAGTTTATGATATTGTGTGACTCTTGTGTTTTAAAGGGTTAATTCAGATTCATTAAAGTCACACAGTAACACAAACTAAGCAGCGGTAAACCAGCACCTCTTTTGTCCAGTAAAGTAAAATTGCTGTTTTTGTCAATGGAGTCTGGTAGATGTGGAATTGAAGATGTTAACAGCTTCCCTTTCAGAACGGGCTGTCTGACATAAAGGTAAAGCTGTGAAATTATTCTAAATATGGCATACAGTTAAACTGATAATGATTTTTTAGGTGTCTAAAATAAGTTTTGCTGCTGCCCCCATCCACAGCAGTACATTGCTTTGCTTCCGTGTCGGACTCAAGCCTGCTTCTCCAAACTGAGGATGTGCCAGCTGTTATCTTCTGTATGTAATACACTGACTACAGGTAAATACCTCAAACAGCCCCATTTCAAAAATCTGAACTGTCCCTTTAAGTCTTTTTTACCTCTGTCACTGTAAACGTGTCTGTTTGCTTCATTTTCTTCAGTCAAGCTCAACCTGTTTGTTCACTTTGTGTTTGTTCCATTCAGGTGGAGACAGAAAAACTCCTGTTAGGACTCAAATGTCGCTTCGTCTCTTTCCCTGTCTCACTTTCTCTGATCTCTCTGTCTGTTTTTCTGTCTCTCAGGACCATCATGCACCTGAAGTCGTATCCGAAGCTTGTGCGCTCAGAATTGCGTCTGGATGCGTCCGGTGTTCAGACGTCCCAGCGGAGCAGCCTGTTTGTGAGCCAGCAGGGAGCGCTGCTGAGGACCTGCAGCAGTAACCATGGCAGCAGCAGCAACAGCCGCCTCCCGTTGAGCGTCATCTCCACCAACACGCTCTGCCGCAGCAACGCAACAAACAGCAACATCAGCAGCAGCGTGGCATCACTCCGGCTGAAGGCGTCGCCCGTCGTTGCTCTGCAGCAGCTTCCCACAGTGCCGGGCTGCGAGAACGACACGCTCAGACTGTACCAGACCACCACGGAGGATGCTGACGCTCCACTGGATATCTGGACTGTAATCAAGCCTGGACATGTTCGGGAGAAGATCGCCATCTTCGCCTCAGATGGTGAGCCTACAGAGGGTGCTGGAGGCACTGAACGCACCTCAACCAGTGCCTCCGACACCAGGGACAGGACGCCGGTGGTGTGTTCAAACCACGCCACCATGTCGGGACTCTTGCGGGCTGGGAAGGCTAAGGGAAGCTGGGAGGAAAACAGCAGCGCCAAACGGCGCCGCAGGTCGGGAAACAACCAGAACCTCCAGCAGGACCCGAGGAGATGGGTTCAGGACACACAGCAACATGCCCACAAACCGTCTCCACGGCGCTCTGACTCGACTCAGCGGTCGAGCATTGGGCGGTGTGGAGACGAGGTGGTGGCGACGGCAGAGGAGGAGGAGCAGAAGGTGTCGGTGGTGGAGATGGTGGCGTTCCTGGAGCAGAGAGCCAGCGAGCAGCAGCCAGACTCCAAACCTCTGATTGCCCTCCAGAGGAGCTCCACCACCATCACGCTGTCCAGAGCTCTGCCCCCTGAGATCAGGGAGGGCTCAGAGGTCAGGGGGGAGGAGCCTGAGAGCGTCAAGGTGTCAGACATGGTGGCCAAGCTGGAGTCAGAGTGTCTGAAGAGGAGGACGGAGGGAGATCTGTCGAGGAGCAACAGCCTGAGGAGGACAGTGGGTCGAGTCCTGCTCGCCGCTGGAGACCAGAGCGCCGCCCCCTGCCAGCCTGCATCACCATCGTCATCATCGTCGTCGTCGTCGTCGTCGTCATCATCATCATCATCATCATCATCATCATCATCATCATCATCACTGCCGGGAGCTCAGAGTGTGGGCAGAGAGCCAGTCAGCTGCTCAGAAACACCCAGGACACCTGCCTCAGCTGTGACCACGCCCCCCACAGGTGAGGTCCAGGCGGTCGGGGTAGCTGCAGGTCCAGAGACATCGAGCACTGTCACAGAGACTCAGACAGAAGCCCCGCCCCTCACAGCAGCCCTGCCCCCTTCACCTGAGGAGGTGGAGCCTCCACCTGGCCTGTTGTTCTTGTCTCCTCCTGCCTCAGAGCCCCTCCCCCCACACCACAGAATGACCATGGACCTTGAGCCCTGCCCCCCTCCTGCTCCCTGTGACTCTGACAGCCAATCAGAGAAGAGGAGGAGGAGAAGAAAGGCTGACAGTGCTCAGGAGGAGGAAGCTGGCGGTGCGGCCTCCTCTTCTGCCGTAGCGCCTGTGGGCCGGCGAGCGTCTGCTTCACAGGACTTCCTGGAGATGCGTCAGCGGCTGCAGCAGCTGCTGGAGCCGCAGCCGTACCTCGCCGTGCTGCCGCATCACCTGCTACTCAAGATCTTCCTGCTGCTGCCCACGCAGACCCTCGCCGCCCTCAAGTGCACCTGCCACTACTTCAAGTTCATCATCGACAACTACGGCGTGCGGCCCGCTGACTCGCTCTGGGTGTCCGATCCCCGTTACCGCGACGACCCCTGCAAGCAATGCAAGAAGCGGTATGGCCGCGGCGACGTGTCGCTGTGCCGCTGGCACCACAAGCCGTACTGCCAGGCGCTGCCGTACGGCCCCGGGTACTGGATGTGTTGCCACGGCGCCCACAGGGATGCACCCGGCTGCAATGTGGGTCTCCATGACAACCGCTGGGTGCCGGCATTCCACAGCATTAACGTGCCAATCTACAGGAGGAACCGCAATGACAACTGAGTGTGTGTGTGTGCACGTGTGTGTGACATGAACTTCAGCTGCTCCCATGACGCAGGTCAGATCTGAACGGCTCCGTTGGAGTTTAAAGTCAAACTGAGAACATCCGGTTTGTCTATGACCTTTGACACGTTTGTTTTTTAAGGTGACCTGAGCTGCTTCATGCTGTCACTCAGCAGCGTGGCGCCCCCTGCTGCTCCGCCCGCCTCCTCACAGCCTCCGTCAGTGTCGATCGGCTCATCGCTGATCTCGTTAATAACCCGTCGTTAACAGCAGGTGGAGGGAGGAGGGTCCCGACCATGACTTCTTCTTCTTCTGTGAGTGTCGATGAAACGTAATGATCAGCTGATACTTCAGAGCAGGTTTAAAAACAGAGCTGAATTCTCAAAACCACATGTAGATCTATAAAACATCGTCTGGCTGTTGTCTCCGATTAATGAGTGCAGTCTGATGACATAACGATGACAGAACGATGACATCATGAGGTCATATCAGCCGTTATTAAATCAGTCTTTCAGGAGGAGAAGATGCTTATAAGTTTTTACTGTAAAGATTTAAAGAGACACTACAGATTTTTTGAAGTTGGGTCGTATAAGATTGTTAACCACAGTCAGTGTGTTACCTACAGTGAATGTCAGTGAGCACGCCACCAGTTGGGAGAAGCACGCTGGAGTCTGACTTTGAAGCTCAGCAATGCACTGCTGTGGATGGGGTCAGCAACAAAACGGATATCAGCCACCTGAAACAATTAAAATGAGTTAAAGTGTACGCTATACAGAGAGTATTTTCTTTACCTTTCCTTTCTGTAAGACTGTCCAACGGGGAACTGAAGCCATTACATCGCCCTCTTCAAAGCCAGACTCCATTGAGAAAAACAGTGATTTAACATCTCTGAACACAGGAGCTGCTGGTCTGCTGCTGCCTTCATCAGTTATTTTATTCGTGTTTTTATGTGACTTAAGCATTTAAAAATGTCAGTTTAGATTAACCGATTTCACCAAATAAGACAAACTAACCAATCAAAGCAGCGATAGATGACCAGCTCCTGTTTTCAGGAATGTAAAAATCACTGTTTTTCAAAATGACTGTTTTCGTCAATGGAGTCTGGTGACTGTGACGAGAGGATAGATGTGCAAGTGAAGCCGTTAACAGCTTACCTGTTGGATGGACTGTCTGACAGAAAGGTAAAGTGGTGGAAATACTCTCATTATACCGTACTGTTAAGCTGATATTGATTGTTTAAGGTGGGACTTTTTTAAGGTGGCTAAAATATGCTTTATTGTTGACTCCTTCACAGCAGTACATTACTTAGCTTCCATGTCAGTACTGCTGTCTGCTTCTCCAAACTGGGGGTGAGCCGACCGCCATCTACTGATAACTCGCACAACCCTGCTTCAAAAATCCGAACTATCTTTTCTTTTTAATGTGGAGTTTTATTGAGTTTTAAGGGTGGTTGTTTAGTTCCTGTTTGACTTTCAGAATAAAAGACTTGTATAAAAAATGATATTTATCCTCTGAAAAAAAAGAGCAGACAGTTTAGCTTTTCATCTGTCACCTCCACCGATCCCAGATCTAATTTATCATCGTCGTCATGTTCATGGACGATGTCTCACGTCAGTCAGACGGTGTGTTTAAGTAACAGCCTGTGAGTACGATCAAGTCATCACAGATCAAATATCAGAGGTTTGATAAGAAAGAGACAGGCGGCTTTTCTCTCGCAATGTTTGAACATTTAATTATCACCACATTTGATTTTAGTTTAACGTCTTCAGAGTGAAACTGAATCCCTCAGTCTGCCTCTCTTCTGTTTTACATCTTTAATCTCTTCGAACAAAAGGAGACATGAAGACGATAATTTAAGAAAACATATATATGATGGTGATGTGTGGGGAGGCGGAGCTTCAGCGGGTGCCGTGCTTGGAGCGAATATGAATCCACAGTAGATGAACTTTATCTGCACCTTGTTTGTGTTTACATTTGTACATAAATCATAAAGAGTTTATGGGCTGCGGCTGAGTGATAATCATCTTTAACAGGACCGAGTGTTGTATCAGTGAAGGGAAAAGAGGAAACGTGGCCTTGAGTCTCGGAGACGCTGCAATATTACAAAGTGACTGTAGAGATTATATAGAAATATATATATTAAAAAAGAATATCAGGGGAGAAAAAAAATAAACAAACGGCCTTTGACCTGCAGAGATTTTTTTTTTAAGGTTTGTTGGTTTTATGTCTGCCAGCTGTTTCTGTTAAAGATGTTTTGCTTTAATAAAGTGCTTTTCATTGGTTCTTCTTTGGGTTAAAAACAGACTCGACTCTTTTATTTCAGCGTCTCACAGATTTTATGGGGTTAATATTCTCATTATTCAAATTTAATCATTATTTAAGTGTTATTATTCTTATTATTTAAATTAAATGTTTATTATTCTCATTATTCAAATTAATTTGTATTGTTTAAGTATTGTTCTTATGATTTTAATTAAATCATATTATGTAAGTGGTATTCTCCTATTTAATTTCAATAGTTATGTATTATTCTTATGATTTAAATTTAATCATATTTGTTATTATTCTTATTTAAAATAAATCATATTTAAGTGTTATATTCTCATTCAAATTTAATAATATTTTAGTGTTAATTTTCTCAATATTTAAATTTAATTATAATTATTATTATTGTCATTATTCAAATTTAATATTTAAGCTTTATTCTCATTTAAATTCAATCATTATTTATTATTATCACTATTCACATTTAGTCGTATAATTTAAGCCATTTTTCTAATTAATCATATTTAAGAGGAATAATTTGTATTTAAATTTAATAATATTAAAGTGTTATTAGTCTGATTTAAATTTTATCATATTATTCTGAATCACAAATCCCATAGTACTTAAAATGGTAAGTATAATGTCACTGAGAACAGAAGCTGCCAAAATAAACAAATAACGACTCAACAAATGAATATGCCATTAAATAAATATAAATAAATATATACATAAACTGATAAAATGTGATTTAATTATTTTTTTTAAATTTACTTTTGAATTATTTCCCCTATAATTTATTTATTTTTTATTTTAACTGTATTCTTAAATTAATGTATTTATTCATGTATTCCTTTATGTTGTGTGTCATAGGGTTCAACCTTTAGCCTGTTTGTTGATCGCCATCAGAGTGCACAGACCCCACTGTTCATGTCTTGCTGTTCCACAGTCGACTCTCAGTGTTGCTGTGATTCCACTCACCTGTCCACCAGGTGTAATGGAAAATATTCAAGATGATGAAAGAGCTTTAATATCATTCACATATTTAAATCTTAATCAAACAGGCTTCTGCAGAGTTTGTAACAAATCTTTATTTTACAGTTACTTCATGTTACTATTTAACTTTTTATTCACAAACCAGAAATCACTATGACATCACACAGCTGCTGTGATGTCACGTTGACCCTGTGACCTCAGACAGCATCTCCAGCAGCTGGAAGTAGTTGTACTTGATGTCGTACTCCATGTCGTACCAGAAGTTCACTGCAGCAGAGAGAAAAAATACACTGACACTTAAACTTTGAAGACGCTGATAAATTATACTGAGTTTATCTGAATTCAAGTTTCTTGAATGTGGTTGTTGCAGAGCAGGTACTTCAGTGTTTGTACCTGTGTTGTGTCTGTGTGGTGCGTTCAGGTGCTTCAGTGCTTGCACCTTAAATGTAGCCATGTGGTGCATTCATGTGCATTTATTGTACCTGTGATGCAGCTGTTTGGTGAGTTCAGTGTTTGTACCTATGATGTGTTGTGGTGTGTTCAAGTGCAGTGTTTGTACCTGCAATGCAGCCGTGTGACTGCCTGACATGGTGAAACCACAGTGACGGCAGGTACAACATCTCTCCGGCCTTCACGCTGCAGTGGAGTGGCCGAGCTCTCTGGTACTGCGGGTACCGGTCCAAGTCCGGGTCCAGCGGGTCCAGAGGGATCCACGGGACCTGAGGAAGAGGAGGGAGAGAGTCAGGGTGAACTACAGTGTTTTAAATATTTCTGATATTAACAGACAGACACTTGAACACACCTTCTCAGAGTCGCCCTGATCGATGACCTCAAACTCACCGTCCTCCTTCTGACGGTAAACAGCCGGCTGATACACACCTGTCAGAGACAGTTACTATGGTTACTGCAGAACATGCTTGGTGGTTGCCATGGTCACTCTGTAAAGATGCAGGGTGGTTACTATGGTTACCGTAGGGGATGAAGGGACGGTCTGTGGGCGGCAGCAGGATGAAGTTTTTCTCTCCAGATATCACACAGTACAGATTCTCATAGTGATCTTTGTGCACTGAAACACACCACAGACACATTTATGTATAATCACATTAAATACACACCATGTGACGTGTGTCGTGTTGTGTTCAGGTCTTACTGGACGTGACGGCGCTCGCCTCTCCGAGCCAAAAATTCACCGCATCTGGTAACTTTCCTAAAAGAATTAAAAAGACAGAGTGACAATATGTTAAAGGCCACGAAGAGAATTGTTTCAGTTCATCAAATGTTAATAAAGACAAAACTAGAGGCAGTAATTATTTTAGCTTAAAACATCATTTGTATTAAAGTAGGCCTACAACTTCCTGTGTGTTTATAGTTGTGGATAAAAAAACTAGCAAAATGAGACGAACACGATACACTAAAGAGAAAAAGTTAATTATATATATATATATATATAAATAAAACATTAAAATATAAAACTTGCAGCTGAAAACAAATCAGTATTGTTGTAGTTCCCCTCCGGGCCGCCGTCGGCAGCACTGAGCTCAAAGTTCAAATCGGCGCCATCTTGGATTCTACGCGGCGGGCTCTCATAAGAACAAACTTAACGCGCACTCCACCTTTATACGTTTTTTTGACTTTACAATGAGTTCACCTCCACCTAAACGCGCCTGAACGGTCGCTGAGGAGATTAACTTTTATTTTAGCCGGTTTGTTTCGTCTCTTTTCGCGCACAGAGGAAGATTTTGACCGTTAAACGTTAAAGTAACGGGTGCCGTAAGGTTAGCTAACATGGAGCACCGCTGCAGTCACTGTGACAGTCCCATACAGAGACAAGCTAAGGGGTACAAGAGAAAATCTTTATTAACACTTATCGACCTGAAGAGCGCGCACAAACTTTTCCCGGGCCTAAACCCTCGCGAGGCGTTTTTATGTTTCACCTGTGTTCGTCACGTTTATCAGAAAACCAAGAAAAACGGTAAAAGGCGGGTTTATGTGGACCCCCAGCCCCCGACCCGTCCGGCTCCCTCTGCCCGCCCTGCTCCGTCTCTCCCGGAGGAGCCTCCGCCTCTGAAGAAGCTCAAGAAGAGACTCAAAACTCCGCTGAACGAACACGATTACGCGTCCCGGGACCCGGAGCCCTCCACACCCAGGAGCGACCCTCCGCCCGCCCGGCGCGTCCGCCGCGGGCCGATCTCTCTGGTGTGCGGGTACCTGCGGAATAAGAACTTCACCTCTGCTCTGAACAGACTGCTGCAGGTGTCCGGCTTCAAGGAGGCTCTGATCAGGGTGTGTAAGAAGATCATTGCAAAAGAGGTGAGACCCGTTTACTCACTTTAATCTACTGAGACTGATTAATAACAATTACAATAATATTTAAAATTATTATTATCATTTTTAATACTGAAGGTTTATAAGGAACATTTGCATTTCAGATTAGAAACACTAATATTTGACCGAGGGTTCCCGATAATAGGACACCTGGAAATGTCATGGAATCAGTGTTAATTTTGACAGCTAGTTTAGATTTGGTCTTAGTCTAGAGGCTAAAATGTTTATTAGTTTTAGTCACATTTTAATCATTTTTATCCTTCATATTTTAGTCTAGATTTAGTCGACAAAAATTCATGACATTTTAGTCATTACTTTTAGTCATAATGTTTTCTTTTATCTTTAAACTAATCCAGTGAGGCTAATTTATTAATCAGAAATTAGAATCAAGGTGACAGGTTGTATAAAATAATTTGTGCACACTTCCAAACTGTCATGTCTCCAGCAGTGTGTGACAGGTTTAAGGGCTGATTTACGAGCACACACTTACTGATCATCATTTGAAAAGCTCAACATCTCTCTATTTCTGCTCTCAACAAATAACTAATGTGAGCCAACTAGGATTTGTCCCCAGGTTCATTGTAAACTCTGACTTATCCATGTGACTGTTAAGAAGCAGAAACATAACTTCTCTCTTCATGTGCAACATGTTAGTCCGAAGGTTTAAACTGGTGTCCTCTCACAGAGTTGGTGATTCAAACTAAACTTTCATCTCTGTCAGAGAAAACTGATCTGAGTTCAGACTGTTTACTTACAGCACAGCTACACTCACAGATAACTGAGCCTCCTACCTGCCTGTCAAACACCATCAACCCACAAACCTGCTCCAGTCTGGACTGAGTGGAGTCCTGCGGGGTGAAGCTGTGAAGTCTGGTGGCTGCTTGCTCTGCTGCCATTCAGCGGCTAAGGAGTGGAGCTAGCTGCTAACAGCCACCGCTGCAACTAACTCCACAAATCCATTCAGCAGCTCCACCATCCACAGTCTAATCTCTCAAGACAGATTCTGCAATTTACATTGTAGAATCTGTCGGCAGCCCTGTGTGAAAGACGACTAGAACGATGCTGCGCTTTAGCCAATCACAATGGAGGGGGCGTGGCCGAGACATGCAGGTGTCCCCAGGAAATGTGTACCTACAGAAACTGCAAGCTCCGCGTCCATAGCGACCGCTCCACCCAAAACGCCATCTCATCAATGTGAAAAATTTTTTTTTTTTTCCAGCGGATGTCTGAGTTACAACATGATTGAGCTAAGTGGAGTAGTTTCATGTCGTATCCGACAACGGGAGGCTTTTAACAGATGACGTCCTGATGTTAGCTTTGCTAACTGTCCCTGTCAGCTGCAGCCACTGATGCTTTCTAGACATCGTGATTTCCCATAACTGAATAAATACCACACATAGCAACACAAAACTGCTTTGCTAGCTCAGTCATGTTGTAACTAAGATATCTGCTGGAAAAAATATTTTATTCACGGACCGTTATTACGAGTTATTACCTTATTTTTATACAGTCTATGGTTATTACAGACACCGCTAACGTTAACAGCTAACGGTTAGTCCAGCTAATCTACGATAACCATATTATTACAAAACGTGCACACAGAAATAGTAACGTTTGTTCAATCATTGTGTTTATAGACTTAACAAACATCAGATTAGTCTACACGGTGATACAGTGACGTGAAAAACGTGATATATAGCTAAACTCTGCTGGTTTTCTACCCGAAGTATTTGTAAACAACATGGCGATTCCCTGGGGGCACCGCCGAAAGCGAAGGGCATGATCGATCGCCGAGGCCCCTGCACTTCCGCTAGTCGAAAAACTCCGGGCTGTGCCTCCAGAGGTAAAGGAAGATTTTTTTTTTTTTTTTTTTTTGTTACCGATGGATTTCCAGATTGTCCACAGTCAGACACACATGGCTGTTTATGCGTGAGGGTTTTTCTCGGCCAGTGAAACATCCTGGTGCAGACTATTTACTGGAATTTACCAGCCTGTCAGTCATGCTGTATTTGAAGATAATAACAAGCACGGCTGTTCTTAGCTACCAGTGTCCGATAGTCCACCACAAACATTTTTGTCACGTCTCGTCAACGAAAATTTCACATAGATTTCATCTTAGTTTTTATGATCAAAATCTATTTTTAGCTTGTCATCATCTCGTTTTCGTCATGGAAAGAAGGTTGTTGACAAAAAAATTTCGTCAAAGAAATTAACACTGCATGGAGTTCGTAAAAATCATTGAAAGTTTTGGAGAAGTGGTTGCTTGTAATGCAGTTGTTTGCGTAATCTTTGATGGATAACATTCCCCGTAATGTAACATAACAGCAAATTTATTTTCTGTAACTGACGTTGTAATGTAGCTGTAATAAGAGTCAATGTCTGGCGTTTTGTTAACCATCATGTGTGTGTTTCTTTATTTTCTCCCTGTGTTCCATCTCTCCCTTCATGTACACCGACTAGCTGACATTATGTTTGAATATAGTTTGAATCTGATATGTTTGAAAAAAGCAGAGCAAGTTTGGAAAGAAAAAATATTTTAGGTCTTTGAAAAGTCATGGTTTGAAATTTAGTCCATGAAAATGTGGGGGAACTGAAGGTCTCTGTTTAGGGCTTCCAAAACAGCGGAGTAGCATAGAGGCTAGGTGTAAACATAGAAACAGTTCTGTGTTTTAAAAAGAAAACATATTAGTGTGGACGTAGCCTGAGACCTAACAGGGTTTGACATGTAAGCTGAAGTGTAAACAAATAGAGGAGTTGATGTGTAAGATGGACAGTTGTGACTGAAACAGCTTGAAATGTAAGTTTAAGAATAAGAGATGATAATAAATATATTAAACGTAATTTATCACATTAAAATAGAATGTGTTTGCAGCGTAAAGAGATGGTGAACGACCTGGACGGGCCGTACAGGAAGACGTTCACCCCTGAGAACCTGTCTGCATTCAGCTGGGATAAGTCTACTTCCTGGGCTGAGGAGAAGGCTCCTCTAACTGTGGCCTGTCTCAGGTCCATGTTCCCCCCCGCCAAAAAGACCCAGAAACAGATCGTAAACTACAGCCCAGGGAATAAACCACGGTGGGTCCAAACTGCGCTGGTCTAAAGACGGACCTGGTTCTGATATTTGTTAAACTCCAGGATGATAAATGTAAGTGAGTGTTTTCCTGTTTCAGGCGGATGACTGAGGAGGAGGTGAAGCAGATGTTGGACCGAAGGATCAGCCTCCTCCTCTCCGTGCCTCTGTACACCAGCACACTCAGAACCTGTTTCCTTCAGACAGCGTTCAGCGTGGAGATGCTCCGACACCGCTGTCCCATCAAACTCTTCACCATCACCAACAGCCTCGGCATCTCGCAGTGCAAAACCTCCGCCAGGATCCACGCCAAGAAACTTGCCGAGGAGCACGACCGACAGGTGAAGCAGTGGAGAGACGAGATCCAGGTGAGGAACCATGTCCTTCAGTTTCAGTGTCACATGTTCTCCGCACAGTTTGACTTCAGTCAGTTTCTTTAAGTGAAGTTTGATCCCTTTTATTTAAAGACGATATTTTAATGATTTAAACGAACTGAGCTGTGTGATGACAAGTCTTCGTGTGGTTCTGCAGAATTAGTTTTATATTTATTTGTATTTTTAATACATGTCCGTCACAGAGGAGATTCATCACATTTCCTTTTTTTTACTTCTAGACGACCAAAAAGACGCAGTACCGCAGTGAAGACTCCAAAAAGGCAACAGCTTACACTTTCAGCTGGGGGAAAGTTCGGGTAACGTGACTTCTGACATAAAACCTTTGTCCTAAAACCATCTGTTATCTTTCACTGAGGAAATAAAAGTTCTGCTGCTGCAGGTACCGTCTGTGTCCAGGTCCGACTCCACAGATCGAGGATACACCTTTGTGACGTGGGCATTTCGCTTCGCTCATCAAGTTCGGGTTAATTTTCGTTACCTGCACGGACTTCCAGTAAAAGCAGTGGAAGTGTCTCCTTACAGAATCCTACCGTCCAAACAGGTACTAAGTCTTGACAGGAACAAATCAGTGTGTCTGCAGCATTTTTCAAATTCAGTTTCCCACAGAATTACAGTGTATGTGTGGTGGTAGCTGACTATGGTGGGGTCGGGGAGGTGGGGGTAGGCAACAACAGCAAACTTCCATGTTTTGTTTTGTTGTTTTAAATTCCTGTGTGTCCCTTTGTATCATTCTGTGAGCTGTCTCTAACTTCAGAGATTTTTGTGGGTCCATGAACGCAGCACAGGCAGAGCTCTCCATGAGTTCTTCACTTCCTCAGCAGCAGTTTGTGACTTGTGGGGTGGGTAATCAGATTGATGGATGAGAGGAGCAGCTGCTGCGAGTGACTGCAAACTTCAAAGCCCAGTTCAGACCAAAGATTCACAATGAGACAAAATGGTTTTGGAACGATTGAGAGAAAAGTAGTAGCGGTGTGAACTGGCCGGTCTGAGCTTGACTCAAGTCGGCCGACAGTGTCACCTGCAACTCAGCTGGTCGAATCGCCGGCGGCTGGTTTTAAAGCATGTCACCTGTTTCAACAGCCAGTCAGCTTGTAGAAAAGTCCCCTGGTCAAGTCAAAATGACAGCAGACAGCTCCCTCTGTTTCCGTCCTCACGGTGTGCCGGTGTCGGACGGTGGGTCCCTGCTGCTGCTGGCTGTATGTGCTTATGCCCCGCCCACACACACACATTCTCATTGACTGATTGATTGGCACTGGTTATTTATATTATTGTGGTGTATTAATTATGAATACAGTCCATCTGATGGTGGTTTTGTTTCATCATTGTAGACAGTATCTCACTATCACTATCCTCATTCATATTTGAAGAAGCTACAAATTATATTCAGTAGGGGTGTAACGGTACACAAAAATCTCTGTTCGGTACGTACCTCGGTACACAAGTCTCGGTTCGGTTTTTTTCGGTACAGTAATGAAAAAAATAGACAACTATTAAATATCTTTTACTTATTGGTAACCTTATTAAAACATACCACCACAGCAGTTAACTCTTTTTACACAATTTTTGAATTAAACAAATATATATAAAATCCTGCTTTTTCACAGTTTGAATGAAAATAGAAATATAAAAGTGAAAAATAAAATCCTGCTGTTTTTTTAACACATTTTTTTAATGAAAAATATAAATATAAATTTCTGCTTAAACAGTTCTACTCAGTTAAAATAAAAAGTATAGGGCAGCTGGTCAGCTTTAAAGCCTGCTCAGATTCAGTTTTACTAGGAACTTACTTAGCTTTCCCACTTTGTTAAAGTGCAGTAAACAAAACATGCTCATATCTAAAGTGCAGCTTAAACAATTTTACTCAACTCCAATGGCGTTGGTCATTTCTTTAGCGCGATGGTCAGGGAAACGCTCTTTCTTTTTAAA